CTATAGTCTCTTGAGGCCCCGCTTGGCCGCAGTGGCCTTCCAACTCCGCCGCTCCTGCCACGCTAGGACCCCCGCCAACACCAGGTCCACCAACGCCCGCGCCAGCACTAGCACCAGCAGCACCAGTCTCCCCCTCCGCCGCCACCACCACCACCACCACCAGTCCTCCATCACCACACCGCGTCGGGCACCATCGCCCAGAGCAGGGAAGTTCTCCACCATCAGCACCACCCACCCCACCACCAAGTCCACCACCAAGTCCACCACCACGATCACCAGCAGGACCAAGTCCGCCACCAGCGCACCAGCTTGGCATCATTGCCAACGGTACCGAAGTCCTCCACGATCACCACCCCCACCCCCACCGCCACCACCGCCACCTCCACCATCACCAACACCGCCACCTCCAACATCGCCACCACCAACAACTCCACCACCACCGCCACCTCCAGCACCAGCACCACCACCATCACCAGCAGGACCAAGTCCACCGCCAGCTCACCAGCATGGGCATCATTGCCAACAGTACCGAAGTCCTCCACGATCACCACCCCCACCACCCCCCGCCACCACCGCCACCACCACCAGCTCCACCACCACCACCGCCACCTCCACCACCACCACCACCACCATCACCAGCAGGACCAAGTCCACCCGCCAGCTCAGCAGCATGGGCATCATTGCCAACGGTACCGAAGTCCTCCACGATCACCACCCCCGCCACCCCCGCCACCCCCCGCCACCCCCCGCCACCACCTCCACCAACTCCACCAGCTCCACCAACACCAGCTCCACCACCAAGTCCACCATCACCACACCGCGTCGGGCACCATCGCCAACACTCCTGGAGTCCATCACCACCGCCGCCGCCACCGGGACCGTGCACACCATCGCCACAGCAGCCCGCGCACCGGCACCAAGAGCACCGAGGTCAACCCCCAGCACCAGCAGCAGCAGCACCAAGTCGTCCTCCACCAGCAACACAAGCACCAGCACAGCCTGCACCTCCAGCCCCACCAGCCCCTCCTGCCCCAACATCCCCTCACGGTTCCCCTGCCTGCACGCCCCCTCCTCTCCAAGTCCTCACTGGTCAATGATCCTGTGTGGCATTTGTCCCTTTGGCCTCTCTGAATCTCAAGCCCAGGACGCCCCCTGACGCATGACTGGCTGTCCCGATGACAGGTGATCGAAGTCTCGGGGGCGGTGGAATCCCTCACCCCCGTTGGGACGGCTCCTAGACCCGGGCCCGCCCTCTCTCTGTGTCTCCCTTCGGCCTGCCCGCCGGCCTGCTTCCCACCCACGCCCCCCCACACCCCACCCCTTGGCCTGACCACCTTGCAGCACCGCACAGCAGTCTCCCCCCGCGCACCTCCTCCGCCACGGTCCTGTCCCGCCACGGGGGCCTCCAGCTCTCTTGCACCGGGGCCCGCTCCCCAGCACTTGCCACGCGCAGCTCCTGCCAGCCTCCAGGCTGGACCCCTCCCACCCACCCCCCCACCCCCATCGCTCACATTCTCGGCTGGCAGTCCCGGCCTCCCACACGCTCCTCAGGCACACTCGTGCTCTCTCCCCTCCCCTACCTCAGAGCTCACCCTCCCGCACAGGTGCTCACGTCCATGCCTGGCATGGCGCCGGGGAAGGAGCTCTTCCCCCGCCCCACCGAAGCCTCTGCAGACACCCTGCCCGACTGTCCAGCCGCACTCTGGACCGGTCCCGCAAGCCCCACACCTCCCCGCGCCGGGCACCCCCACCCACACACCCGGGCTGCCCCCGGCCCTCCCCTCCTTCTGGGATCCTCCTCGCTCTATGCCCTGACCCCCGTGGGAGGCCACCCACGTGAGTAAACACCTTCATCCCGCGGCATCCCCCACCACACACGCTCCACACACACCCCCCCCACACACGCTCACACCCCACACACCCCACACACACCCCCACACGCACCCAGACACACCCCCCACACGCTCACACCACACACACACACACACACACACACCCACACACCCACAGAAGCAATGGCGCTGAGGGAAGTTCCCGTGGTGATGGTCAGCGCCCGGCTGCCCACAGCGGCTCCTTTCCACCGCTGGGACGACCTTGCCCCAACCCAGCCAGTGTGGTGCCGCGGCAGGTTTGGCCGGTGCACGGGCTGTCCGCTTGGGCTCCTGAAGGAGACAATCTCTGAACAGACAGCAGACCCGTGGCGGACAGAGGCGTGCAAGTGTTTCTGGGAAGGAGACCGTGGTCTGCGATTTAGCTGGAGGAGCACCCGGACAAGACGACGGGCACAGGGCTGGAGACAGGGCTGGAGTAGCTCCTGGCTAGGTGTCGGCTAAGGCGCCAGTGGGAAAACCTTCAACGGGCAAACTCGGCCGTGGGCCTGCGCGGTGGCGGTCGGGGCTGGGGGAGGTGGAAGGCGTTCCAGGGAACACGCTTGCCACTTTGCCGTGGGACTCAAGGGATGGGTGATGCGATTTCAAGAACCTGTTGGCTACAAGTCCACCGTCTGTCTCCGGTGTGCCTCCACCCCCTCCCCCTGCTTGGCTGTTGGGTTTTCCCCACCGGCCTCCCGAATCTTCCTGCTGTCTCTCCTGCACTGCCCGTCGGTTCTGCTTCGTGCACGCGTCCACGTTCGCTCTCCCAACTCCACATCCCCGGCGCAACCGTGCCGCTCTCTGCTCGTGGTGGCCGGGAAGCTGGACCGAGCGGTGGCTGGCCCGAGGGCGAGGGAAGGGACCAGGGGCTCCAGCAGGTGTCCCGACGCAAAGAGGCAGATCGCTCACCCTGCCCCGACCTCTTCCCCCTCCGACCCCCCACCCCCCCGGCCCGCTTCCCCGCACCGTCAGCACTCAGTAGCACCTCCGGAAGGAGCAAGGGGTGGCTTGTCAGGGGTGGCGGGGTTTCTCCTGGCGGCAGCAGTGCAGCCGGAGAGTCCAAGCCCCTGCGGTGGCCGGACGTGCGGGCGTCTGTGGGTGGCCCCGCGTGAGGACAGAGGGTATCGCGCGCGCGCGCGCGCGTGCGCGCGGCCTCTCGGGTTTGGGACGGAGGAAGAGGGGGAGCCATGCGAGCGCCCAGGCGAGGCGCCGACGCGCTGCCGTTGGGCGGCCGGCCCGCTGGCGAGGCCAAAAGGGTTGGGCTGGCCGAGGCGACAGGGCAAGGCTTGGGCTCGGCCGTGCGCCTGGCCTTGTCTGGGCCCCGAGGCCGTGGGGCTAGCCGCGAGGCAAGGGAGAAGCCAGCCAGCTTCGGCTAAAAGGGGTGCGGATGCGCTGGGGAGAGGTCGGGAGGCCGAGAGGAAGAAGAAAGGCTTCCCTGACCGGGAATCGAACCCGGGCCGCGGCGGTGAGAGCGCCGAATCCTAACCACTAGACCACCAGGGAGCGTCGGGCTCTGCGCCTGGCCCGCGCGCCCTGGGCGCAGCGCCTCCAGACCACCCCGTCGCCTCCGCTTTGGCTCCAAGGCCCCTGCCTGGCCACGGCCAGCCGCCCGCCCGCCCTACCAACCCACCCGCCCTGCCGGCAGCACCCTCAAAACGCTGCGCACCTCCTTCCCTCCCTCACACACGCGCTCAGCCTCGGGCCACGCTCCGGCTCCGGGCTCTCGGCTCCCGGCTCCCGGCTCCCATCGGGCCTGGGCACGAGGGCCCTGGAGCCGTGCAAAAGGTTGGCCAGCTGCGTTGGCCGGGAATCGAACCCGGGTCAACTGCTTGGAAGGCAGCTATGCTCACCACTATACCACCAACGCTGCACAGCCCCGGCCGCCCCGAGACGCCGGCGCACGCTTCGCAGAGGCGCCTTCACGCCTTCTCGCCGCCGCCTGGGCCGCCTGGCGCCGCCCTGCCCCGACGTGCCGCCGGTCGGCAGCTCTGCGCTGCCGCAGGCGCCAGCAGCGGCCGCCCCAGCCCCAGCCCCAGCCCCAGCGCCAGCCCCAGCCCCAGCCCCAGCGCCAGGCCCAGCCCCGCCAGCACGACGCCGCTGTGCGGCTCCGCAGGCCCGACCGCCCGCCGCCCGCCTCTGGGGGGCGCTCTGGCCGCCGTGCCGCTCCCCCGGCCCTCGGCTGCCGGCCGGGCATTCCCCGCCCCGCGAGACACGCTGCCCTCCGGCGACCCGCTCGCCCGGGCCCTTCTCCGCGGAGTGCCCGGCGAGGCCACATCCCGCACCCACAGAGGACCCGACCCAGCCGCCGCCCACCCCGTCCCCCGCGCCCATCCAGCACCGGGCAGCGTCGCGTCGCCGAGGAGCCCGTTGCGGCCAGTCACTCGTCAGGCGCCGGGGGCACGACAGGAGGCCCTGGCTGGGCCGTGGTGACCCCGCACGCGCGCGCGCGCGCGCCCGGGGTCACGAGGAAGGCAAAGGGGTGGGGGCGCTCGACGGTGGGCAAGCCGGGCACCCGTCGTCGCCCCGCGCTTCTCGCCGGACGCGCGAGGGAGGAGAAGGGCCCTGGGGGCAAGCGTTTGGACAGAGCGGCGGTGGCGCCGGCGACCAAAAAGGGCGTCTTGCCTCCCCGTCGGGGAATCGAACCCCGGTCTCCCGCGTGACAGGCGGGGATACTCACCACTATACTAACGAGGACGGCGGCGGCGGCCACCCGGGCGCCCGACCCCTCTCCGCCTGCCCGCCCACGCCTACCCCTGCCCTCGACGCCCTGCCTTACGCAGGCGCCCGCCACGTGCCACACCCGACCGGACCCCAAACCAACCGCGCCAGCCCGCACAGCAGCCCTCCCAGCCCGACTCGGAGTGGACCCCAGGCCCGGGCCCCGGACCCGGACGGCGCGGAACACTCCGAGTGCGCCGGCGCCTAGGGCCTGCCCGGCGCGGATCGCGCAGGGAGAAGAGGCCCGAGCGGGCAAGCAAGGATGCGAGCAGGAGGACGGGCGCCCCGGATGGGCAGGGGCGGAGGAGGGAGGGCGGCGAGGACCTAGTGGGGGTGGGGGGTGGGGGGTGGGGGGGGGCGGCGGCGGCCAGACAGGCTGGGCCGACGCCGGTCTCTGGGTGCGGGGCCGCGATGTGCGAGGGGGCGGGGCGGCGCGGGGCGAGGCGGCGGCGACGGCGGCGGCCGCGGCGGGCGCGGCGCCAGGCGAGGCGGCTGGCGCTGCTCCTGGTCGGCCGGGGCGCGCGTCCCGTCCCTTGCGCGCCCACACAGCCGCCAGCCGCCGCCAGCGTTCGCGCCGGGTCCCAGCCAGGCGAGCGGCGACGCGCCCAGGCCCGCCGTCAGGATGGCCGAGCGGTCTAAGGCGCTGCGTTCAGGTCGCAGTCTCCCCTGGAGGCGTGGGTTCGAATCCCACTCCTGACACGCCCACCTTTTGGCCCGCACCACCAGGGCACCGGACCCCGGCGGGCCTGGAGCCACGCCCTATCGCAAGCCCGCTCCTGCCTGGCCCGCCGCTCCGGCCTTGCGCCCTAGCACAAAGGGCCCAGTGCCGAGCCCTGACGCCTCGACGCTCCTGGCCCCAGGCTTGGCGCACACACGCCCTCCCCCACCAGGTCACGCGCCTTTCCCGCCCGATCCCACGCCCACCCCCGCAGGCCTGGGCCACTTGGCAGCACGTCTCTCCTCACCTGCTTTCCGGGGGCTGCGTTTTCCTTCCTTCCTCCCTCGGGCTCCCGCTCCCGCTCCACTCCCGCGGCCCCCTGCAGACCAGCCGGCGGCGCAAATGCCCAAAGCCCTCCGCATTCCGTTCTCCACCAGACTGGTGCCTGCTGAAGAGCGCCTCGCTCTCAGAGCCGTGCACTCCCGCCACCAGGAGCACACCGTCCCACAGAGAGCCCGTCCGTCCTTTCCGCCGGCCCCCATTCCCTTCTCTCCACACCCTCCTCAGGTGGCCCGAGGTGCCCACGACGATTTGCCACCTTGATGACGCTTTACCCTGCCCACACCTGCCTGCCTCCCTCCCGGGACCCAGGCTGCCCAGCCACCTGCTCGCCGGCCCACGACAGGGCCCTCCCTTCAGTGGGCCTGGCCCGGGAGTCCAGCCCGGGCAGGTGGCTCCCGTGAGCGCTGAGCCCAAGGAAGCCCTGGATCCCCAGGCCACCCACCTGGGCGCCCCAGCGCATCTCCGCGCCGGCAGCCGCTGCCCGGCCGGGACCCGAGGACCCCAGCGCGCTCCCTCACCGCGCTGTCGGCCAGCTAGCCAGCAGCCACTCTGCCGGAGCGCTCCCGCCAGCCAAGGTCGCGCTCTTGCCTCACAACCACCGCCGCCCTCCCCACGCCCCCCGCCCCCCCGCCGAGCTGGCCCCCGAGGGAGCGCTGCGCGCCCGAGCTCACACACCTCGCTTCGCTCTCCTGGCCTGAGCGGCTACTCGGCGGCGCCGGCGGCGCTACGGGGCCTCCATCTCCTACACACGACACACGCGCCCGCCCACACCCACACCCACACACCCCACCCCGCGACAGCCCACCCCACGGCACCGCACGTGCGCACACAACCGGAGCTCCGGTCCGCCGCCCCGCCCGCCCTCGCACCCTCTGCCCCGGCCAGGAAGCCCTCGGCCAAAGGGGCTTTGGGTGGCGGCTGAGAGGAGCCGCGGAAGGCCACGGCCGTGCTCAGCCGCGCCTGCCACAGCCTCCCCCGCGCTGGGTGGGATTCGGGCGCTGGCCAGCCTGGGTCCGGCTCCCGGCTGCCCCTGGCCACCCCGGCAGGGCAGCGTCTCGCCGCGGCCCTCGACCGAGGAGAAAGCACCGCAGGAGCCTAGTCGGCCGGCGTGCGTCCCCGCCGCGCTCGGCCCGTCTGCGCCGCTCGCTAGGGCTCGGGACGTGCCTGGAGCCTCTGTCCCACACCGCGCGTCCGCCTCCTGCTCAAACGAAGCCGATGCTCCGAACAGGCCCGGACCCGGGTCTGGCCGCCGCTGGGGAGCGCCGCTGGGGAAGCCGTCTGGGGAGCGGCGCCATCGGTGCATGGGTGGTTCAGTGGTAGAATTCTCGCCTGCCACGCGGGAGGCCCGGGTTCGATTCCCGGCCCATGCAGCGCGCCGTCCCCTTTTGGCCGGCCCTGCAGCCCCAGCGCGCCCCCCGGCTTCCTCTGGCCCACGCTCAAGGCGCCTGGCCTAAACCAGCTCCGCTCCGGACCAGGCCGGAGCCCGCCCCTGCCCTTCCTCTCCGTCTCTCTCGCCCAGCGGACCAAACTCCACCCAGCGCCCGAGGCCCCTGGCCCGCCCACACGCCTCCCTTGCCCCTTTTCTCTTCAGGACCCTGAGCACCCCGCTTCGCTCACCCGCTTCCCTTCCAGCGAGGCTCCCCCGCACCACCACACACCCGCACGGCGCCGCGCCGCACCAGAGCCCACGGGGCCGCGCCCCACCTCCACGCCTTTCATCACGGTTCCTCCCTCCCGGTCTCACTCTACCCACACTGCCAGAGTCCTCCTCTCTTTGCACAACCAGGGGCAACCAAGTTGCCACCCCGAGCCCTGATCCGTCCCATTCTCCTCCAGGGACCCTCACAAACTCACTGGGCTGCACCAGGAAGACCCGATGCATGGCACCACATGCTCCCGACGCGCGCCCTATAGTCTCTTGAGGCCCCGCTTGGCCGCAGTGGCCTTCCAACTCCGCCGCTCCTGCCACGCTAGGACCCCCGCCAACACCAGGTCCACCAACGCCCGCGCCAGCACTAGCACCAGCAGCACCAGTCTCCCCCTCCGCCGCCACCACCACCACCACCACCAGTCCTCCATCACCACACCGCGTCGGGCACCATCGCCCAGAGCAGGGAAGTTCTCCACCATCAGCACCACCCACCCCACCACCAAGTCCACCACCAAGTCCACCACCACGATCACCAGCAGGACCAAGTCCGCCACCAGCGCACCAGCTTGGCATCATTGCCAACGGTACCGAAGTCCTCCACGATCACCACCCCCACCCCCACCGCCACCACCGCCACCTCCACCATCACCACCACCGCCACCTCCAACATCGCCACCACCAACAACTCCACCACCACCGCCACCTCGACCATCGCCACCACCACCACCACCAACAACAACTCCACCACCACCGCCACCTCCAGCACCAGCACCACCACCATCACCAGCAGGACCAAGTCCACCGCCAGCTCACCAGCATGGGCATCATTGCCAACAGTACCGAAGTCCTCCACGATCACCACCCCCACCACCCCCGCCACCACCGCCACCACCACCAGCTCCACCACCACCACCGCCACCTCCACCACCACCACCACCACCATCACCAGCAGGACCAAGTCCACCGCCAGCTCAGCAGCATGGGCATCATTGCCAACGGTACCGAAGTCCTCCACGATCACCACCCCCGCCACCCCCGCCACCCCCGCCACCCCCGCCACCACCTCCACCAACTCCACCAGCTCCACCAACACCAGCTCCACCACCAAGTCCACCATCACCACACCGCGTCGGGCACCATCGCCAACACTCCTGGAGTCCATCACCACCGCCGCCGCCACCGGGACCGTGCACACCATCGCCACAGCAGCCCGCGCACCGGCACCAAGAGCACCGAGGTCAACCCCCAGCACCAGCAGCAGCAGCACCAAGTCGTCCTCCACCAGCAACACAAGCACCAGCACAGCCTGCACCTCCAGCCCCACCAGCCCCTCCTGCCCCAACATCCCCTCACGGTTCCCCTGCCTGCACGCCCCCTCCTCTCCAAGTCCTCACTGGTCAATGATCCTGTGTGGCATTTGTCCCTTTGGCCTCTCTGAATCTCAAGCCCAGGACGCCCCCTGACGCATGACTGGCTGTCCCGATGACAGGTGATCGAAGTCTCGGGGGCGGTGGAATCCCTCACCCCGTTGGGACGGCTCCTAGACCCGGGCCCGCCCTCTCTCTGTGTCTCCCTTCGGCCTGCCCGCCGGCCTGCTTCCCACCCACGCCCCCCACACCCCACCCCTTGGCCTGACCACCTTGCAGCACCGCACAGCAGTCTCCCCCCGCGCACCTCCTCCGCCACGGTCCTGTCCCGCCACGGGGGCCTCCAGCTCTCTTGCACCGGGGCCCGCTCCCCAGCACTTGCCACGCGCAGCTCCTGCCAGCCTCCAGGCTGGACCCCTCCCACCCACCCCCCACCCCCATCGCTCACATTCTCGGCTGGCAGTCCCGGCCTCCCACACGCTCCTCAGGCACACTCGTGCTCTCTCCCCTCCCCTACCTCAGAGCTCACCCTCCCGCACAGGTGCTCACGTCCATGCCTGGCATGGCGCCGGGGAAGGAGCTCTTCCCCCGCCCCACCGAAGCCTCTGCAGACACCCTGCCCGACTGTCCAGCCGCACTCTGGACCGGTCCCGCAAGCCCCACACCTCCCCGCGCCGGGCACCCCACCCACACACCCGGGCTGCCCCCGGCCCTCCCCTCCTTCTGGGATCCTCCTCGCTCTATGCCCTGACCCCCGTGGGAGGCCACCCACGTGAGTAAACACCTTCATCCCGCGGCATCCCCCACCACACACGCTCCACACACACCCCCCCACACACGCTCACACCCACACACCCCACACACACCCCACACGCATCCAGACACACCCCCACACGCTCACACCACACACACACACACACACACACCCACACACCCACAGAAGCAATGGCGCTGAGGGAAGTTCCCGTGGTGATGGTCAGCGCCCGGCTGCCCACAGCGGCTCCTTTCCACCGCTGGGACGACCTTGCCCCAACCCAGCCAGTGTGGTGCCGCGGCAGGTTTGGCCGGTGCACGGGCTGTCCGCTTGGGCTCCTGAAGGAGACAATCTCTGAACAGACAGCAGACCCGTGGCGGACAGAGGCGTGCAAGTGTTTCTGGGAAGGAGACCGTGGTCTGCGATTTAGCTGGAGGAGCACCCGGACAAGACGACGGGCACAGGGCTGGAGACAGGGCTGGAGTAGCTCCTGGCTAGGTGTCGGCTAAGGCGCCAGTGGGAAAACCTTCAACGGGCAAACTCGGCCGTGGGCCTGCGCGGTGGCGGTCGGGGCTGGGGGAGGTGGAAGGCGTTCCAGGGAACACGCTTGCCACTTTGCCGTGGGACTCAAGGGATGGGTGATGCGATTTCAAGAACCTGTTGGCTACAAGTCCACCGTCTGTCTCCGGTGTGCCTCCACGCCCTCCCCCTGCTTGGCTGTTGGGTTTTCCCCACCGGCCTCCCGAATCTTCCTGCTGTCTCTCCTGCACTGCCCGTCGGTTCTGCTTCGTGCACGCGTCCACGTTCGCTCTCCCAACTCCACATCCCCGGCGCAACCGTGCCGCTCTCTGCTCGTGGTGGCCGGGAAGCTGGACCGAGCGGTGGCTGGCCCGAGGGCGAGGGAAGGGACCAGGGGCTCCAGCAGGTGTCCCGACGCAAAGAGGCAGATCGCTCACCCTGCCCCGACCTCTTCCCCCTCCGACCCCCCACCCCCCCGGCCCGCTTCCCCGCACCGTCAGCACTCAGTAGCACCTCCGGAAGGAGCAAGGGGTGGCTTGTCAGGGGTGGCGGGGTTTCTCCTGGCGGCAGCAGTGCAGCCGGAGAGTCCAAGCCCCTGCGGTGGCCGGACGTGCGGGCGTCTGTGGGTGGCCCCGCGTGAGGACAGAGGGTATCGCGCGCGCGCGTGCGCGCGGCCTCTCGGGTTTGGGACGGAGGAAGAGGGGGAGCCATGCGAGCGCCCAGGCGAGGCGCCGACGCGCTGCCGTTGGGCGGCCGGCCCGCTGGCGAGGCCAAAAGGGTTGGGCTGGCCGAGGCGACAGGGCAAGGCTTGGGCTCGGCCGTGCGCCTGGCCTTGTCTGGGCCCCGAGGCCGTGGGGCTAGCCGCGAGGCAAGGGAGAAGCCAGCCAGCTTCGGCTAAAAGGGGTGCGGATGCGCTGGGGAGAGGTCGGGAGGCCGAGAGGAAGAAGAAAGGCTTCCCTGACCGGGAATCGAACCCGGGCCGCGGCGGTGAGAGCGCCGAATCCTAACCACTAGACCACCAGGGAGCGTCGGGCTCTGCGCCTGGCCCGCGCGCCCTGGGCGCAGCGCCTCCAGACCACCCCGTCGCCTCCGCTTTGGCTCCAAGGCCCCTGCCTGGCCACGGCCAGCCGCCCGCCCGCCCTACCAACCCACCCGCCCTGCCGGCAGCACCCTCAAAACGCTGCGCACCTCCTTCCCTCCCTCACACACGCGCTCAGCCTCGGGCCACGCTCCGGCTCCGGGCTCTCGGCTCCCGGCTCCCGGCTCCCATCGGGCCTGGGCACGAGGGCCCTGGAGCCGTGCAAAAGGTTGGCCAGCTGCGTTGGCCGGGAATCGAACCCGGGTCAACTGCTTGGAAGGCAGCTATGCTCACCACTATACCACCAACGCTGCACAGCCCCGGCCGCCCCGAGACGCCGGCGCACGCTTCGCAGAGGCGCCTTCACGCCTTCTCGCCGCCGCCTGGGCCGCCTGGCGCCGCCCTGCCCCGACGTGCCGCCGGTCGGCAGCTCTGCGCTGCCGCAGGCGCCAGCAGCGGCCGCCCCAGCCCCAGCCGCAGCCCCAGCGCCAGCCCCAGCCCCAGCCGCAGCCCCAGCGCCAGGCCCAGCCCCGCCAGCACGACGCCGCTGTGCGGCTCCGCAGGCCCGACCGCCCGCCGCCCGCCTCTGGGGGGCGCTCTGGCCGCCGTGCCGCTCCCCCGGCCCTCGGCTGCCGGCCGGGCATTCCCCGCCCCGCGAGACACGCTGCCCTCCGGCGACCCGCTCGCCCGGGCCCTTCTCCGCGGAGTGCCCGGCGAGGCCACATCCCGCACCCACAGAGGACCCGACCCAGCCGCCGCCCACCCCGTCCCCCGCGCCCATCCAGCACCGGGCAGCGTCGCGTCGCCGAGGAGCCCGTTGCGGCCAGTCACTCGTCAGGCGCCGGGGGCACGACAGGAGGCCCTGGCTGGGCCGTGGTGACCCCGCACGCGCGCGCGCGCGCGCCCGGGGTCACGAGGAAGGCAAAGGGGTGGGGGCGCTCGACGGTGGGCAAGCCGGGCACCCGTCGTCGCCCCGCGCTTCTCGCCGGACGCGCGAGGGAGGAGAAGGGCCCTGGGGGCAAGCGTTTGGACAGAGCGGCGGTGGCGCCGGCGACCAAAAAGGGCGTCTTGCCTCCCCGTCGGGGAATCGAACCCCGGTCTCCCGCGTGACAGGCGGGGATACTCACCACTATACTAACGAGGACGGCGGCGGCGGCCACCCGGGCGCCCGACCCCTCTCCGCCTGCCCGCCCACGCCTACCCCTGCCCTCGACGCCCTGCCTTACGCAGGCGCCCGCCACGTGCCACACCCGACCGGACCCCAAACCAACCGCGCCAGCCCGCACAGCAGCCCTCCCAGCCCGACTCGGAGTGGACCCCAGGCCCGGGCCCCGGACCCGGACGGCGCGGAACACTCCGAGTGCGCCGGCGCCTAGGGCCTGCCCGGCGCGGATCGCGCAGGGAGAAGAGGCCCGAGCGGGCAAGCAAGGATGCGAGCAGGAGGACGGGCGCCCCGGATGGGCAGGGGCGGAGGAGGGAGGGCGGCGAGGACCTAGTGGGGGTGGGGGGTGGGGGGTGGGGGGCGGCGGCGGCGGCCAGACAGGCTGGGCCGACGCCGGTCTCTGGGTGCGGGGCCGCGATGTGCGAGGGGGCGGGGCGGCGCGGGGCGAGGCGGCGGCGACGGCGGCGGCCGCGGCGGGCGCGGCGCCAGGCGAGGCGGCTGGCGCTGCTCCTGGTCGGCCGGGGCGCGCGTCCCGTCCCTTGCGCGCCCACACAGCCGCCAGCCGCCGCCAGCGTTCGCGCCGGGTCCCAGCCAGGCGAGCGGCGACGCGCCCAGGCCCGCCGTCAGGATGGCCGAGCGGTCTAAGGCGCTGCGTTCAGGTCGCAGTCTCCCCTGGAGGCGTGGGTTCGAATCCCACTCCTGACACGCCCACCTTTTGGCCCGCCCCACCAGGGCACCGGACCCCGGCGGGCCTGGAGCCACGCCCTATCGCAAGCCCGCTCCTGCCTGGCCCGCCGCTCCGGCCTTGCGCCCTAGCACAAAGGGCCCAGTGCCGAGCCCTGACGCCTCGACGCTCCTGGCCCCAGGCTTGGCGCACACACGCCCTCCCCCACCAGGTCACGCGCCTTTCCCGCCCGATCCCACGCCCACCCCCGCAGGCCTGGGCCACTTGGCAGCACGTCTCTCCTCACCTGCTTTCCGGGGGCTGCGTTTTCCTTCCTTCCTCCCTCGGGCTCCCGCTCCCGCTCCACTCCCGCGGCCCCCTGCAGACCAGCCGGCGGCGCAAATGCCCAAAGCCCTCCGCATTCCGTTCTCCACCAGACTGGTGCCTGCTGAAGAGCGCCTCGCTCTCAGAGCCGTGCACTCCCGCCACCAGGAGCACACCGTCCCACAGAGAGCCCGTCCGTCCTTTCCGCCGGCCCCCATTCCCTTCTCTCCACACCCTCCTCAGGTGGCCCGAGGTGCCCACGACGATTTGCCACCTTGATGACGCTTTACCCTGCCCACACCTGCCTGCCTCCCTCCCGGGACCCAGGCTGCCCAGCCACCTGCTCGCCGGCCCACGACAGGGCCCTCCCTTCAGTGGGCCTGGCCCGGGAGTCCAGCCCGGGCAGGTGGCTCCCGTGAGCGCTGAGCCCAAGGAAGCCCTGGATCCCCAGGCCACCCACCTGGGCGCCCCAGCGCATCTCCGCGCCGGCAGCCGCTGCCCGGCCGGGACCCGAGGACCCCAGCGCGCTCCCTCACCGCGCTGTCGGCCAGCTAGCCAGCAGCCACTCTGCCGGAGCGCTCCCGCCAGCCAAGGTCGCGCTCTTGCCTCACAACCACCGCCGCCCTCCCCACGCCCCCCGCCCCCCCGCCGAGCTGGCCCCCGAGGGAGCGCTGCGCGCCCGAGCTCACACACCTCGCTTCGCTCTCCTGGCCTGAGCGGCTACTCGGCGGCGCCGGCGGCGCTACGGGGCCTCCATCTCCTACACACGACACACGCGCCCGCCCACACCCACACCCACACACCCCACCCCGCGACAGCCCACCCCACGGCACCGCACGTGCGCACACAACCGGAGCTCCGGTCCGCCGCCCCGCCCGCCCTCGCACCCTCTGCCCCGGCCAGGAAGCCCTCGGCCAAAGGGGCTTTGGGTGGCGGCTGAGAGGAGCCGCGGAAGGCCACGGCCGTGCTCAGCCGCGCCTGCCACAGCCTCCCCCGCGCTGGGTGGGATTCGGGCGCTGGCCAGCCTGGGTCCGGCTCCCGGCTGCCCCTGGCCACCCCGGCAGGGCAGCGTCTCGCCGCGGCCCTCGACCGAGGAGAAAGCACCGCAGGAGCCTAGTCGGCCGGCGTGCGTCCCCGCCGCGCTCGGCCCGTCTGCGCCGCTCGCTAGGGCTCGGGACGTGCCTGGAGCCTCTGTCCCACACCGCGCGTCCGCCTCCTGCTCAAACGAAGCCGATGCTCCGAACAGGCCCGGACCCGGGTCTGGCCGCCGCTGGGGAGCGCCGCTGGGGAAGCCGTCTGGGGAGCGGCGCCATCGGTGCATGGGTGGTTCAGTGGTAGAATTCTCGCCTGCCACGCGGGAGGCCCGGGTTCGATTCCCGGCCCATGCAGCGCGCCGTCCCCTTTTGGCCGGCCCTGCAGCCCCAGCGCGCCCCCCGGCTTCCTCTGGCCCACGCTCAAGGCGCCTGGCCTAAACCAGCTCCGCTCCGGACCAGGCCGGAGCCCGCCCCTGCCCTTCCTCTCCGTCTCTCTCGCCCAGCGGACCAAACTCCACCCAGCGCCCGAGGCCCCTGGCCCGCCCACACGCCTCCCTTGCCCCTTTTCTCTTCAGGACCCTGAGCACCCCGCTTCGCTCACCCGCTTCCCTTCCAGCGAGGCTCCCCCGCACCACCACACACCCGCACGGCGCCGCGCCGCACCAGAGCCCACGGGGCCGCGCCCCACCTCCACGCCTTTCATCACGGTTCCTCCCTCCCGGTCTCACTCTACCCACACTGCCAGAGTCCTCCTCTCTTTGCACAACCAGGGGCAACCAAGTTGCCACCCCGAGCCCTGATCCGTCCCATTCTCCTCCAGGGACCCTCACAAACTCACTGGGCTGCACCAGGAAGACCCGATGCATGGCACCACATGCTCCCGACGCGCGCCCTATAGTCTCTTGAGGCCCCGCTTGGCCGCAGTGGCCTTCCAACTCCGCCGCTCCTGCCACGCTAGGACCCCCGCCAACACCAGGTCCACCAACGCCCGCGCCAGCACTAGCACCAGCAGCACCAGTCTCCCCCTCCGCCGCCACCACCACCACCACCACCAGTCCTCCATCACCACACCGCGTCGGGCACCATCGCCCAGAGCAGGGAAGTTCTCCACCATCAGCACCACCCACCCCACCACCAAGTCCACCACCAAGTCCACCACCACGATCACCAGCAGGACCAAGTCCGCCACCAGCGCACCAGCTTGGCATCATTGCCAACGGTACCGAAGTCCTCCACGATCACCACCCCCACCCCCACCGCCACCACCGCCACCTCCACCATCACCAACACCGCCACCTCCAACATCGCCACCACCAACAACTCCACCACCACCGCCACCTCCAGCACCAGCACCACCACCATCACCAGCAGGACCAAGTCCACCGCCAGCTCACCAGCATGGGCATCATTGCCAACAGTACCGAAGTCCTCCACGATCACCACCCCCACCACCCCCGCCACCACCGCCACCACCACCAGCTCCACCACCACCACCGCCACCTCCACCACCACCACCACCACCATCACCAGCAGGACCAAGTCCACCGCCAGCTCAGCAGCATGGGCATCATTGCCAACGGTACCGAAGTCCTCCACGATCACCACCCCCGCCACCCCCGCCACCCCCGCCACCCCCGCCACCACCTCCACCAACTCCACCAGCTCCACCAACACCAGCTCCACCACCAAGTCCACCATCACCACACCGCGTCGGGCACCATCGCCAACACTCCTGGAGTCCATCACCACCGCCGCCGCCACCGGGACCGTGCACACCATCGCCACAGCAGCCCGCGCACCGGCACCAAGAGCACCGAGGTCAACCCCCAGCACCAGCAGCAGCAGCACCAAGTCGTCCTCCACCAGCAACACAAGCACCAGCACAGCCTGCACCTCCAGCCCCACCAGCCCCTCCTGCCCCAACATCCCCTCACGGTTCCCCTGCCTGCACGCCCCCTCCTCTCCAAGTCCTCACTGGTCAATGATCCTGTGTGGCATTTGTCCCTTTGGCCTCTCTGAATCTCAAGCCCAGGACGCCCCCTGACGCATGACTGGCTGTCCCGATGACAGGTGATCGAAGTCTCGGGGGCGGTGGAATCCCTCACCCCGTTGGGACGGCTCCTAGACCCGGGCCCGCCCTCTCTCTGTGTCTCCCTTCGGCCTGCCCGCCGGCCTGCTTCCCACCCACGCCCCCCACACCCCACCCCTTGGCCTGACCACCTTGCAGCACCGCACAGCAGTCTCCCCCCGCGCACCTCCTCCGCCACGGTCCTGTCCCGCCACGGGGGCCTCCAGCTCTCTTGCACCGGGGCCCGCTCCCCAGCACTTGCCACGCGCAGCTCCTGCCAGCCTCCAGGCTGGACCCCTCCCACCCACCCCCCACCCCCATCGCTCACATTCTCGGCTGGCAGTCCCGGCCTCCCACACGCTCCTCAGGCACACTCGTGCTCTCTCCCCTCCCCTACCTCAGAGCTCACCCTCCCGCACAGGTGCTCACGTCCATGCCTGGCATGGCGCCGGGGAAGGAGCTCTTCCCCCGCCCCACCGAAGCCTCTGCAGACACCCTGCCCGACTGTCCAGCCGCACTCTGGACCGGTCCCGCAAGCCCCACACCTCCCCGCGCCGGGCACCCCACCCACACACCCGGGCTGCCCCCGGCCCTCCCCTCCTTCTGGGATCCTCCTCGCTCTATGCCCTGACCCCCGTGGGAGGCCACCCACGTGAGTAAACACCTTCATCCCGCGGCATCCCCCACCACACACGCTCCACACACACCCCCCCACACACGCTCACACCCACACACCCCACACACACCCCACACGCACCCAGACACACCCCCACACGCTCACACCACACACACACACACACACACACACCCACACACCCACAGAAGCAATGGCGCTGAGGGAAGTTCCCGTGGTGATGGTCAGCGCCCGGCTGCCCACAGCGGCTCCTTTCCACCGCTGGGACGACCTTGCCCCAACCCAGCCAGTGTGGTGCCGCGGCAGGTTTGGCCGGTGCACGGGCTGTCCGCTTGGGCTCCTGAAGGAGACAATCTCTGAACAGACAGCAGACCCGTGGCGGACAGAGGCGTGCAAGTGTTTCTGGGAAGGAGACCGTGGTCTGCGATTTAGCTGGAGGAGCACCCGGACAAGACGACGGGCACAGGGCTGGAGACAGGGCTGGAGTAGC